GGACTTCATACTGATCCTAGCTCTTGCGAGCAACCATCTAAGTGTGTGTGTTGTGTGTGGTTGGAACAATTGGGGAGGATTGCCCACTTGGGGGAGGGGTGCTGTTGTCTCAATGTGGGGGGTATTATTGTTATAACAACATGTGGGGGGTATTATTGTTATTGTTATAACAATAGGGCGGGGCTTTGCTGTTTGGGCGGAGGGGGTTGTTATTTTTTGTTTTTGTGAAGAAAGACGAAGAAAGAAGACGACAGAAGAAGAAACAAACAGAAAAAAACAAGAAGACGACAGAAGAAGGAAACGAAGAAGAATGAAAAGACATCCAAAGAGGAATCTGTGGTATAGAGCAGTCTCCTTTCATCTCCTTTCTTTTTCCTTTTCCTATTTCATTGGGGGAGTTGTAAGTTATTTCGTGGAAGGCGCAGGGTTTGGTGGTGCATGATGTGCAGATTTCGTAGCGGGAAGGGTTGTGGAGCAGCGCCCCCATGCAATGTAAACAAATCCTTTTAAAGTGTTCCCCAAACAGTGTGGTCTCACTAGGAGTTCTTGTGGTAAGTGTTACTTCGATGTGCAGCGGGGCACATTCAGCCACGGAGCAGGTGAATCCGTAGAGCACGATTGCATCACGGCTACTTTGGATCGTTGCCTGCGCGGCGGCTTCAAGAAGCTGGCTGTGCACCACCAGTTTGGCCTCATCATCGTTGCTATTTATTTAAGGTCTTGGGAGGGCCTTGATAGTTGTCAGTATGTAGCGCAGCTACTCAAATTTGCTCCTCCCGCAGAGCCATTGGAGAAGAGTTTGGTCAATGTATGTCTATGTCAACACAGGCGCCATAAAAGAGATGCATTTCTCCGACCGTTTTGTTTCTCTGAATGCTCAGGTCCGTAGATGCTCGCAAGCAGTATGAACATTGCAAAGCGACTGTCGTTGCTGCTCAATGAGGGAGCAGTTCGCGGCAGACCGCCTCAGCCGCCAAAGGACTCACAGGTGCGCTCAGTGATTTTTATGAAGAAATTGGTGGCCCAAAGAGGAAAGCTTTCTGAACCACAAAGGTGGCGCAGGCTGGGCACCTTCATAAGAGGGACACAAAGATTGGTCAGGTGAAGATGCGTCGCAATCTAGACGTGGCTTCCTTCACGTTTTCTTCAGCGCTGGAGATGGCTGCCCAATTCAGCGTGATGCCAATCAGGGAACATCTGCACGGCGCGCCTGGCAAGTGGCAAGTTTCTGCTCCTCACATGATCCTAGGACATCATCAGGGACGCCTGATGACGTACCTGCTCCGTTTTATCTGGCTGTGCGCGCTGGGCTGAATGGCTTCAACCAACGCAGAAGCACACACACATAGAACATAAATGTATGTGTATGTGTATGTGTATGAGTGAAGTATGTGCACCGGTATGTGTGTTTAATTTCTACGCATCGATCGAAAAGGATATATATATATATATAGTGAACATATGCATGTTTGCCAGCTTCTCTCTCTCTATAATATATATATATATCTCTCTCTCTTGCTTGTTTGTCTCTCTGTCTGTGTGTGTGTCACCGCTTGCGTCAAAGGCTCGTGACAGTTGCAGGGGTTCTATTTGAAGCAGAGAGAGCAGAAGATATTGAATGTGTGAAAACCCTGGCTTGGTGTTGCAACATGAGGCATGACTTGATCATGAGTGTGGATGTGACAGACATGGCTGCGAAAAAGGGTTCTTTGCAAGGACGCCACTACGAAGTTTGACCCTTTCGTGAATGGTCATCATACTGTCAGGGATGTGCCATCGATGCAACACCGCTTGGTGAAGATCTCACTCATGCACTTGGGCCGTCATACGATGCTTGCATGGCTGTGAACGATGCACAAGAGAGAACAGAGATGCATGACATTGGCATGCTGGTGGATCACCGCAATTCCGCGAAGCAAGAAGAGGCTATTTTCGTATGAATCTGCGCGGCAAAGCCCGGCAAAGTCATTGAGTTGCAAGAGCTAGATGATTTGCTCAAACGGTCCCTGACCTTCAGAGTCAATGCGAATGGATCTGGTTTGAGCGCATCAGTCTGCCAGGACTCCCTGGCGCGCGTCCTGGCCAATGAAGACCGCGCGCCGCGCGCCAGGGAGGTGAAAACGTACCTGCACTAACTTGTTAATATAATATCGGAAAGGGCTAATGCGTTTGTTCCAACAATTCTTTTCTCCGACCCAGCATTCTTGCTGTTGATTCAAGTCAAGGTCTAATCTCTGCACCGGTATTGTATTCACTAGAGTGGGCTGCCGTAACTGATTCAGCTCTTGCGAGCATCAATCTAAGTGTGTACGCTGGGTATGGGTATGGGCCACCATCCATAGGGCATGCGTAAGGATCCTTGTGCGCGCCCTTCACACCCTATGTAGCCCGGAGCTTCCACAGTATGTATGCGTATGTATGCACTGTACACTCATGTGCACAAACGGCAGGCGACAGGCCAAAGTGGCGATGCGTCGCCAGCTGCTTGAAGCCGCCAGAAATTTGGGTCTGTAGGTCTTTCCTTGTCGGGAATCAGCTCCATCCCTTCTCCACTAGCTGCAATCCTCTGCCACCTTTTGTGCTTCCTGCCGTCCTTCGAATGTTAGCGTTGTCTCTTGGCATCATATCAGCGCAGGCATTGTCTTTCCCTTCCCAACCCTTTGCCATGTGAACAATTTTGAGGGCAGCTACCAATTCAGAAAAGTTGCGCGCTCCGTATCGACCCCCGTAACGTTTGCTGCGCGCGCGTGTATCTATCCAGGGGTCTAGTGGATGTGCGCCAACCTTGCCCTGTCTTTTTCTATCTACCTGTCTACGTATCTTACTGTCCCTGTCTCTGATCCTTGGTCTGTCTGCCTATCCAACTATCTCTTGATCAATAAAATAGCACGCCTTAGACGCATAAGGAGATCGGAAGGAAACACACTGGTGAGTCGTTGGGTAGCTAGGTACCTCTATTATAGATATAAGCTACGAACGTGTGTATTTTCGCAGGCCCTTATGATCCCTTATCATGACCGCATTGAGGGTCACATTCTCTCTCTCTCTCTCTCTCTTGCATTGTCGTTCCGCTGAAGCCTTCAGCATGGAGGGGTAGGGTGCGGTGATGACGTTCATGTTCACATGCGTACCAACATGTGAATACACGCATATCACTTGTACTATGTCCACATGCGCATTAACATGTCACTGTGTGGAAGTGGGGTGTGGGGTGAGGGTGAGGGTGAAATTCCCCGCAGTGGAGCGATATGACAGCAGTATTCCCAGTATCCAGGCTTTCCTACACACACACATGCACGTGTACCTTGCAGCGTTATGTTTCAATCGATGAGGTTGGACACATGGTCAACGCCCGGAAACCGCCTTCTTAACCCCGCATTACCTCGACGCCCTCCTTGAGCTCGACCTCTGCCACAACCCGTCTGGACAAGCTCAGCTCAACATAAGTGGAGCTCCCACCTGAAATTTAACAAACTTTTCTCTTCAGCTGCGGGGGTGTTAGTTTTTTCGCCTCAACGGTTTCTGCCGTTGGGGGCACTCCACTGTCTTGACGCTGGTTTGGCTAACTTGCTTGTGCGATATCAAGGATCGCGCATTGGCCAAGGAACGGCGCTAACAGCCGTGTTGAGCTGGTAGTCGAAGAGCTGCAAATCGTTGGGAAGTATGACCGTTTGATAGAAGAGTGCAACAACGCCAGTTTGGTCATCAAATCGGGCGACTCCTGGTTTTTGCTGGCACGGTTGGAACACAAGGGTAGGACTACGACCACTACTGCTACTACAACTACTGCTACTAATAATAATACTGATGCTAGTACTACTCCCATTCCTACTCCTCCCTACTCCTACTACTACTACTACTACTACTACTAATAACCAAGAGCAAATAACTAATGACTAATAACTACTTTTACTACTACTACTACTACTACTACTACTAGTACTACCACAAGTACTACCACAAGTACTACCACTACCACCACCACTACCACTACCAGTACCACTACTACTATTACTACTACGACGACTACTACTGCTACTACTGCTACTACCACCACGACGACGACTACGACGACGACTACTACTACTACCACTACCACTACCACATACTACCACTACTACTACTACTACTACTACTACTACTACTACTACTACTACTACGAATAACTACTACTACTACTACGAATAACTACTACTACTACTACTAATAACTACTACTACTAATAACTATTACTACTACAAATAACTACTACTACTAATAACTACTACTACTACTAATAATAATAACTACTACTACTAATAACTACTACTACTACTACTTCTACTACTACTACTACTACTACTACTACTAGTACTACTACTACTACTACTACACCACGACAACGACGACGACTACCACTACTGGCGGTCGAGCGCCGTTTCCGACTTCACCGGGAGGCTGCTGGTGACTGTGGCCGAGGTTCGCAACTGTGCGCCCGAGGCTATGATTGATTGTTCTTTCTTCAACGCTGATCTAGGGGGCACCAGCTTGAGGCGCGCCGATGTGATCGCCCGCTTGTCCTGAACCTGGCGATGGTGCGCAAGTGCGAAGGGGTTAACCCACGTGCATCTTCTGACGTTGGTGCAGCCAATGGCTTGGGCGGATGGATTGGATGGCACTACTATGGGCCTTGTCTGTGCTAAGCCTAGCTTGTGGAGGCCATTCGCCGTGGTATGCGGTTTCGCTCTACGGTGAAGGGATGGCTGGATCCTGGCGATGGGAGGCGGCGTTTTTTTGCCAACGCTGAGCAGGTCCCTCGTCACGCCCCGGATTCGAGGGTGATCGATCACTTGCTCCACGCCATCCCACAATGGGTCGAAGTTTCTTGGCGAGCTGCAGAAATGTTCTTGGAGCTGGTTGCCTTGTTGCAGCCTGGGCGGCAGGGTCTGGAGGATACGGTGGAGAGCTTCATGCTTGCCCCCCTGAAGTTGGAGCTCCTTGGCCGACCCAATCTCCCAGACAGGACTTCCTTCCCGCTGGCAATCCAAATATACCCACTCAAGTTCATGTTGGAGGATTGCTTTGCGCTTTTGGGTGCCGTCGGCTGTACGAGTGGCACGGGCGCCAAAGCTGTGTTGAAAAAGATGGAGTACAAACTGTCGCCCACCTCTTTGCCATGATGGCATGCCTGAACGTCCTGTCCTTTATTGAATTATGACCATAATTTCTATAACCATCATAATCATAACCATAATTCCTCCTCCAATCATTCCAACAGCAACCCTCTCCCCGAAAAAATCACAACCCCTTCCCCGCCCAACTCGGGGCGTGTCCGAGTCGCCAGGGCCGATTCTCGCAGGCATGGTCAAGTGATCCCTTTGGCGAAGCACGCTCCGGAAGCCGACCAGTTCCCCCTGCAGATGGTGCTCAGAGAGGAGGCACCTTTTTGCATTTTTGTGCAAATGGGGACGGGGTGTGATTTTGGAACATGGCGGTGAAGGTATTGATTTTTGCGCCACTGGGTTTGGGAGAGTTGCTGAGGTTGAAGGGGATGGTGCTTCAGGGATTGAGAAGTTGGAGGAATGTTGTATTGCAAGGACTTGTCAACCTGCAACACGAGCTATTAGAAAGCATTGTAGCGTTGCGGTTGTAAATTTTCACCAAAAGGAGCATGCTTTGGGGTCTTCAGCCATAGTAAAGGTTTCGGAGCAAGCCGGAGCAGCTCCCAAAGACATTCCCCCAGGTTCCCACAAGGTTCCCACAAGGTTCCCAAGGTTCCTGCAAGGTTCCTGCAAGGTTCCCAAGGTTCCCACAACTTTGTTCCACAAGGTTCCCCCAAGGTTCTCACAGCTTTGCTCCAACGTTCCCACAAGGTTCCCACAGTTTTAAGGTTCCCACAACTTTGCCCCACAAGGTTCCCGCCAGGTTCCCACAAGGTTCCCAAGGTTCCTGCAAGGTTCCCAAAGTTCCCAAGGTTCCCACAACTTTGTCCCACAAGGTTCCCCCAAGGTTCCCACGGCTTTGCTCCAAGGTTCCTACGAGGTTCCCACAATTTTGTTCCACAAGGTTCCCACAACTTTGTTCCACAAGGTTCCCACAACTTTGCCCCACAAGGTTCCCCCAAGGTTCGCAAGGTTCCCACAGCTTTGCTCCAAGGTTCCCACAAGGTTCCCACAAGGTTCCCACAACTTTGATCCACAACGTTCCCACAACTTTGCCCCACAAGGTTCCCACAAGGTTCCCCCAAGGTTCCCAAGGTTCCCACAAGTTTGCTCCAAGGTTCCCACAGCTTTGCTCCAAGGTTGCCCCAAGGTTCCCACAGCTTTTCTCCAATGTTCCCGCAAGCTTCCCACAACTTTGCTGCAACGTTCCCAGAAGCTTCCCACAACTTTGCCCACTTTGCTTCAAGGTTCTTACAAGGGACCAAAGGTTCCCACAGCTTTGCTCCAAGGTTGCCCCAAGGTTCCCACAGCTTTGCTCCAAGGTTCCCACAAGGTTTCCACAACTTGGCCCCACAAGTTTCCCAAGGTTCCCACAAGATTGCTCCAAGGTTCCCACCACTTTGTCGCAAGGCACCCCCTAAGGTTCCCCCACAAGGTTCCCCCGAGGTTCCCACAATGTTGCTTCACAAGTTTCCAACAAAGCACCCAAGGTTCCCACATCTTTGCTCCAAGGTTGCCCCAAGGTTCCCACAGCTTTGTTCCAAGGTTCGCGAAAGGTTCCCACAACTTTGCTGCAAGGTTCCCAGAAGCTTCCCACAACTTTGCCCATTTTGCTTCAAGGTTCCCACAAGGTTCCCACAAGGGACCAAAGGTTCCCACAGCTTTGCTCCAAGGTTGCCCCAAGGCCAGGGTTCCCACAGCTTTGCTCCAAGGTTCCCACAAGGTTTCCACAACTTTGCCCCTCAAGGTTCTTCCAAGATTCCACAAGGGACCAAAGGTCCCCGCAACCTTGCTCCAAGGTTGCCCCAAGGTTCCCACAGCTTTGCTCCAAGGTTCCCACAAGGTTCCCACAACTTTGCTGCAAGGTTCCCAGAAATTCCCACAACTTTGTCCACTTTGCTTCAAGGGTCCTACAAGGTTCCCACAACTTTTTTGCCAGGTATGGTTCCCACAACTTTGCCCCACAAGGCTCCCAAGGTGCCCACAACATCGTTCCACAACTTTGCCCCACAAGGTTCTTCCAAGGTTCCCACAGCTTTGCTCCAAGGTTCCTACGAGGTTCCCACAACGTGGCCCCGAGGTCCCCACAAGGTTGGCGCAAGTTTCCCAGAAGGTTCCCGCAAGGTTCCTAATCGACAGTCAAGGAAACGTCATCATACCTCAAGTCTATTTCATTGTGCTTCCTACTGTTACCTTTTACCTTGATAACCTTTTGGTATCCTATCCTCTTAGATTCCTCCTGTTCTTCATTCGGGCCCCGAATCCACTTTCGGGCCTCGAATCCAGTTTCGGGGCCCGAATCCACAGTCAAGGACACCTCATGATATTTCGAGTCTATTTCATTGTGCTTCCTACTGCCCAGACGCTCATGGACCCTCATATGCAGGGGTCGGACCCTCATATGGAGGGGTCCGGACCCTCAAATCCCTATGGTTTTGAGGGCCCAAGGCCTGTTTGGAGCGTCTGGGTGTTACCTTTTGCCTTGCTAACCTTTTAGTATCCTATCCAAATCCTTTTAGTTTCCTGTTCTCCATTCGCGCCCCGAATCCGGTTTCGGGCCCCCAATCCACTTTCGGGCCAGTCAAGGACACCTCATCATACCTCAATTGTATTTCATTGTGCTTCCTACTGTTACCTTTTACCTTGCTTACCTTTTAGTATCCTATCCTCTTAGTTTCCTCCTGTTCTTCATTCGGGCCCCGAATCCACTTTCGGGCCTCGAATCCAGTTTCGGGGCCCGAATCCACAGTCAAGGACACCTCATCATACCTCAAGTCTATTCAATTGTGGTTCCTTCTCTTAACTTCCTAACCTTCTAGTATTCTATTCTCTTAGTTTCCTCCTATTCTCCATTCGGGCCCCGAATCCGGTTTCGGGGCCCGAATCGACAGTCAAGGAAACCTCATCATACCTCAAGTCTATTTCATTGTGCTTCCTACTGTTACCTTTTGCCTTGCTAACCTTTTAGTATCCTATCCTCTTAGTTTACCTTGCTAACCTGAAGAAAACGTGTTGCATTTTGCGCTTAAGCTGTTGGGGATATTCTTTGGGCTTATTTTTGGACAAATCTCATTTCATCCACCCTATAAACTATGTACCTCTTCCGTGGACCTCATTGTTGTGCCGATGGGGCTCAGGTCGTGCAGACAAAAAACAAGAGAGCTAGAAAACAATTCTTGCAACGTGAATTTTCCCTATCGGTAAATCCCGGGTCCTTAGCACATCCAGATTAAGGGGGTGTATTTTTTCCGCACTTTTTTGTTGTGGAAAAAGATCCGGAACTGAGCCGTCGACCTACTTGGAACCACTCCTTTGTTTTGGGCGTCCCTTGCCATGTGTGGGGCGTTTCTCAATGGGTGTTCAGTGGGAACCGGTGACTGAGGGGCACCTTCTTCACCTCCTTTTCGACAAGTCCGATGGCACAGAGCTGGAGAAAAACCATGAAACACCGAGAAAAAAAACAAGACGCAGGTGAGGTTTGCATAGGTTTGGTGCCCCTAGAAACGGCACAGGTGGAACCCTTTAGCTCATGTCTAGCAGTCTAGCTAGCTTGTGACACTCTGGTCCAGGGTCACCACCAGGTTTTACATGGTTTTACAAAGCGCGTCAAGCTGTGTGCATTGTTAAAGATATGCGTCGAATGTATCGGCTACTAGCGGTTGTGCAAGGTCAATACCCCTTGCCAACTCCAAGTTCGTTACCAGTACCAAGTAAGGTTCCAGTTATTAATTGCTACAGTGTTTGATCTACACTTCCTGGAAGAGGATTGCATGGTCATCCGGGCCATGAACCCGGGCGACACCCACTCCCCTAACCATTTGAGAGACCGTGACCTATATAAGTTGCTGGCGCAGGCAGGCACTGGTGGCGCTGCTGGAGCCTCCGCAGTGGGCGGGCTTGGAGATGTGGAGAGAGTGGGGCCCGGTCGAGGACGACGATTTCATCATCGGGACCACAAGCTTCCAGGGCTTCGGGGCGGTTGGTTTCGAGACATCATTCCCTCCAAGTACTCGGATTTCCATGGGCTTTTACGACCTACGTGGGGTCCACTTCGGAGATCGGGATATCCGTGGCCATTTTCTTAGGGTTGGACTTAGTCCGAGGGCAGCAAGCTTCAGAATTCCTGTACCCCATGGCTTTCACAGCCCCACTTTTGGGGCGACAGACTTGAGAAAGGCTTCGCTCCTGAAAGCAACGGAAGGATTCGCAAGGGGGTGCTTCAAAAAACATGACTGCGCCAAGGACAGACCTCGTGCCTCAACTTCTGGTGCATGTTGGATGGGCCATCCAAACATATCAAAACGATCTGGATCCCTTTTCAGCATCCTGATCATGTCAAGAAATGGGCCAGCTCCGATGGCTAGCCCCAAGGATCGTTTTGAAATCAAAAGCATCCGTTCCGATCCGCTCCGATCGGCGTCCACCCGCCGTCGAGGTCTCCCTGGCCGAGTCGGCGCGCACGGAGCGAGGCCGGTGCTGCGGGGTCTCCCCGCGCGACGGGAAAGTCAGAGATCGAAACGGATGGAGAGCGAAAGCGAGACGGGAGAGGTGGAAGCCAAGCGAATCGACATGGCTCCACGGTGAGGCACCAGTGCTGATCAGGTCCTCAGGTGTTGTTATTTTTTTAAAATATCACCTTCTGGGTCCACCGCAGATGGACTCGCAGCTGGACTCTGAGCCCATACCTTGCGGGGATTGCGAAGGTGGCAGGACAGCCCGAACAGTCCCGATCTAAACAGGCTCTCCGACGTGTGCTGGGTTGTCCGGGGACACGGGGAGGAGTTTTGGGAGCGACGCTATGCCTTGATCAACCGAGTGGAGGGCACCGTTTCTCGTGGAGACAAGTCTGGCCTTCTTAGCTACGTGGGAGCAGCGTGGAATTGCCTGGAAGACTTCTTGTTGGAGTGGACCTGGATGAAAGTCAAAAGCAAACAGAAGTTCACTATGGCGTGCTTCTGCATCCCAGCGAAAAGCTTTCCACGGCCGCCGTAAGTTGTCCCCTGACGCGTTCCTCCATCACCTGGGGTCGGCGTATGTATATCTAACTGGATCTTCCAACTATGCCAAAGTTCTGCCTTTTTGGTTGATTTTTATGGAAAATTGTCACAGTTGGAAGATCCAGGTATTACGGTATTATCGGACTCCACAAAACCCATTGATGTCAACATTTGATGTCACCATTGATTGTTCGCTCCATCCCCGAGACCTCCACACTTCAATGTCTGTGACAGCCGGTGGACCTGGACTGGGAGGGACACCGGACGGACGGGAGGCTCTGTGGCCTCCTTGGAGCGCCGCGGCAGCGCCGGCACCTTGGCGCCCGGTGTGCCAGGCAGATCGGACCGTGGGTAGTCGAAGAAGATGTAAAAGAAGGGAAGTGGATTTGGACCGATCTTCACTTGGGAAGATAGAAAAGATCTGAAAGGGAACCTTACTTCGCGATTGACGCGAAAAGTATATGTGTTTTTTGGGTTTGACTTGGATTCAGCACAGAGAGGCCAGTTGGCCGGTAAGGGGATGGGTGGCAGCATCAGTTGATTGCTGGGCCATGCTGGGCCCACTTGGGTAGTTAGTGGTTCAAGAGCCGCAAGGTAGTCAGCTAGGTTGAGTGGGTGCCCTCAAACCAAATTTGGGCCATCACAAGCAAGGTATGTGTGGGTCAAGGACTCAACTGAATCGCCGTGCCTGCTGTTGCCTGTTCCTGGAACGTTCACGGAATTTCAGTGTGGTGTCAAAGAAGCACTGACACAGTGCGGACGTGTTGAAGTCGTCGCCCCAGGAAGTCGCCCCATGCAGGTCCTTTGCGTGAGGTTCAGTGATGTCCGCCCCATGCCAATAATGCTTTGGTGGAGTTTGCCCCTGTTTGTAGAGGCAAGTCGTATTTGAAAGGGCCACAACTTCCACTTCCAAGATCGATTGTTGGATAGCGTCATCTCTTCCTCTCTCCTCTTCCTTCAATCCATGACATGACAGGGGCCAACCAGGGTGTAGCCAGACATTAGGATAGGCCAGGCTGGTGAGTGGTGCCTAGGCTGGAACATCCGCATTCGGTCGGTGAAGCTTTTTGACGTAGCCAGCCTCATGGTGCAGGACATGGTGTTTGGATTGTGTTTAGTATGGCATTAGCATCCGACAAGACACCAGCTCCATCTCTTCCGGCTCCTGTCGGGGGGGACAGGAAGGTGTGTTTGTCTGCAAAACTTTGTAAGGGCACTTGGTAGAAGATATGACCCACCAATTGAGCCGCAAAATACCACTAGGACTACGAAGGAGACGATGTCCATGACGAAAGAAGCCAATCCTTTGGACATCCGAAGCCCAAATCCCTCTGAACCTCGTCGTTCGCCGCAGCCGTCCTCGCGGCTCAGCCTCGCCTGCTAGGCTCCTCCGAGAACTTGGAGGTCCGGATGTTGGGGGCCGGAACACGGGCGGGTCTGGTAGCACGGGCGGCCCGAAGTAAGCCATGAAACAAACTTGAGGGTTTTTCACATGTTTTCAGTGTTTTCATATATGAAACACCGTGTACTGTAAGTATTTTGCTAGGGAAGACCCAGGTCTTTGATGATTTGTGGGGGCTCTGGTATGTGGTACCCTCCCTGCAGAGGACCACATGGACCCAGTCATGGACCCAGTCCAGATGAGTGACTGTTTTCGTCCCAGCAGCTGCATTTTCAGGGTCTATGTGAGTTCTTTGTTTGGATATGTGATGATATGTCCCAAACACTCCATGTATGGTATATTTACCTACATTGGGGTGGTTTGGGGGGTCAATGTAGGCATATATGGCATACATGGAGTCTGGGTGTGGTACAAGTTTGACGAGCTATTGATGAGCTATGAAGGATCCAGGTGTCTTCCACATCCCAGCTGGTTGGATGCTGCTGACCATTTGTCTCGGCGGCCTTGGCGCCACGGCAATCACTTCTTAGAGCCGGCGTGAAACCATGCACAGTCTTCAAACTGATACCAGCACCACCCATGCTCAGGGCGCTTTAGAGACCCCCCAGTAACCATGTCATATAGTGCTAGGATGTTCTAGGTCTATATATGTTTAAACCAGAACCGCCAGTCCATGTTCTGATGGGCTTTAGACCCTCCAAAGCTCAGCCCATCGAGGCCCAGACCCTAGATCTCCGGAATCTCGGTGAGACGGGGGGGCGATCCGAGTGACTAGATCTTGGATCTCTTGAGACGTGTTTTTTGACACCCCAAAAAGGTGGTAGGAGATGTTCCACCCTGGTCTTGAGGAGTTGTTCCAGTTGTTCCACCTAGTCACCACCAAAGAGGCTGTCATTACGTGACTGTCTGTCATCCTTCCCATCGATGCGCGGCAGAGCCATCTTTTTATTGTTGGATTCACGTGCTTGCCAGGAGGTTGGGGTTGGCGGGGTAACACTTTCCGAGAAAAAGAAAGGTCACATCTTCCCAAAAATTGGAAATTGAGATACCAGGTCCGGAAAAGGAACATCTCTTGAAAAAGGACGCAATCTGGCATATGCAGTGGTTTGTTGTTTACTCTTCCCATGATCTTCCGCAAGGCTCCCAGCGTCGAGAAGCTCGAGTTGCTGCGCGTCCGGGCGCACGGCGAATTGGACGGTGAACAAATCCGGTATATTTCGGTGTCATTGGAATTTGGACGTCATGTTGAGCACTTCCTTCGGATCCAAAGAACGTTTATAAACATAAGAGCTATATATAGCATGGATAGAATGCGTATATGACATGTATTGATATATGGTAACAGTGAAAGGCAACCTTTGAAGTGCAAGTGCACGAAGACGAAGACCGAAAGCAGACCATAGCTTTGCTGGGTTCTAGAGAACAGGACCAAGTTGGTTTTAAAAAGCAAGCGCATCTTCAACCCAGCAGGACACAGTATCTGACGTAATGGGACTACCTGGGAGGATCTTTCCTTTGAACCTCGACTCTGTAGGTAAAAGGCAACGAACATGTCCCATGCGATTTGCAGTTTTTGCGTGCAATGAAGCCCATTGAGGTACGCATTCTCAACACAATGACAGGGTTAGGCACAACTGACTGGCGTTTGAGCTGCCACGCAGAGGAGAACGGAACACGAGTAAATTTGCAGGCATTTTCTGGTTATATAATAGTTATACTGTAGATGTAATTCACATCTACTACGTTTCACTGGCTCATTGCCACTCATTGCGCTAACGTTTTGACATTTTCTTCGTCCTCTCAAACAAAACGTTGTTGCTGCTTCTAAGGATCCGGCGTTGGTGAAAATGTTGACGGAAGTGTGCGGCCGCAAGGCGCTGCGAGTGTGCGCGTGTGACATTTCTGGAAGGGACGTGAGCATTTTGAGGTTTCATCGTGGAACTCCTTAAGAAAAGCTCTTATAATGGGAGTGAAAGTAAATGTCATGGCCACTTTTGTTAGACATGTCGTGCCAGAAACCATGACAGACCCAAGGCCTTTTAAATGAGTACATTGGTTCCCAACTAGTTCGTGCCAGCCGAATTAGAACATGATGCGTCCTTTTATCGCATTGAGCAGAAATACTAGCCAGCCAGTTTCAAAGAGTGGTTAAGGGAGGATGGTTGAAGTGCAACCGAACGGACCCCTCCAACGACTCCTGGTCCCGGACCCCAATGATCCCCAGGCCGGTAGGTAGTAGTTGGCGCCATCGCTATCACTCTTGACAACCCAAGCAATTGCAGGAATTGAACGCAGGAACGCAGGAATTGGATGGTGTCCACAGAAAACCCGACAGACTTGTGACCAAATGACCGACTTGTGCGTGGGTCAACCTTGAACACTTCGGCTGGAAGGATCCAGTTGACAGTTGACATCCACCAGAAGCAGACCACATGCGGACTCTTGCCGGAGGTGGTGATTTCGTCCCCCTTGTCCATGAACCAACCAACTTCACATATGTCAAAAACTCAAAGCAGAAACCAAGCAACTAGGGTTGGATGTTGAAAACTACTCCGTTGGTAGTTGGTGATTCCCTGTTCACGACAGTGGCGCTCCCCAGACTCGTTCACCCCTCAGCGCCACTCGTTTTTCACAGGAATTGTCACGACTGCAAGTGCTGCTGACGCCGCCGGAGGCGCAGGGTTCGTTCCCGCGTCCGGGGAACGCACCGAACAGGATTCTGGTGTGCGGAACGTCGGGGAGTATGAGGAGGGAGGGAGTGAGAGATGAGGCTCACCTGTTTGTGGAAAAGACACATTTCATGCCGTGATGGGGCGTCCAACTTTGCGCCAATCGACTTCATTTCGTCAGAGTGTAATTGACGAGCACAGTCACATGTCTCATGCCCAGAGGATTCCACGTTTTCCGTCCAGGTGCAGGTCGTTTTAATTCATGTTATCACTTGTAGCTGGGCCCGCGGAGTATGCCTTGGGTAATTAGTATTTTTTGCCAGCCATTGTAAGGTGGAGGCCACCGGTTATGGATCCACAGCCATTGCGGAAGGGTATCAGAGCCCTGCACTACCTAGGATAGACGATGTTTGTCGATCCTGCCAGTTGTTTATCCTGCTTTAGTACGAGTGTTGTTCCTGCAAAACAGTGCAATCAATCATAATCAATCCTTGTACTGGAATATCTAGCTTCATCAAGTAGTGAGTAGCTGTTGTAGTTTCGATTCATACCTCCACAACTTGTTCTTTGACATGGGAAAGGATGAGACCTCTGCCGACCAGTTTGTTTTGTGTAGAAAACAGATTGCCGACCTGGGGCGATCTATTCTTTATATCTTTATCCTAGCTGTTCAGTGAATGGGACTGATAGTACTACTATGTGTACGGTCCCCTGATTGCACAAGTTCATGAAAAAATTCAGGGGCACAAGAACGCTGCGCTGGGTATCAAGATGCTATGGGACCTTACATACCACGGCAATACTGGAAAGCTATAGTTATAGGTTGTTCTATTTGGATTGCAACAGATGTCACTGAAAGAATGTCTGGTCTTCCTCCCGCGCGCATCGTCTAGGATGGCGAGTTGGATACTGCCCGGGGCGCTGAGTCGTCGTCGTCGTCGGTCCGTCGGTCCGTCGGTCCGTCGGTCCGTCGGTCCGTCGGTCCGTC